CATACTTGAAGCGAAGGTTTTTATCGTAAAATGGATAACGGAGCTACTTCAATAATAACGGATTTTTCCCCGAACTTTTTGGTAAAATGCGGTATATAAATACAAGCAGTCTATTTAATGAATATTTAAAAAACATTAGTTGATACGTTTTTATATGATGTGAATATAAATATCTCAAGTAAAAAATGATATTTCAAATTAGTAAAAAATGTTAAACGTTATAAATGTTTTACCAAATATTTTTTTAGCGTTCATTAAATAGTGTTTTCAAATATGTCAAATTTTAAATATTTATTTTTTACTTAAACAGTTAAAATTAATATTTAATATTTAATTTACATATTGATTATACTTTGATTATATTTTGTTGCTTGGGATAAAATTGATAACCGCTGACAAATAAAATAAAATATCACTAATTGTAATATTGTCATAAAAATTCTGTATGATAATTTTTATGAGATTTTTACAGAAATAGGGAGAAAAAAAATGTGTAGGAAGCAATTGACACGAATTGTAGATAACTGTAATGCGGGTGCAGCTGCACTGACGAAGGTCAACTCTCTACACACTTCGTTCTTTACTTACTTCGCTGAAAGAATTGAATCAACTCAATCCGTGTTTATTGTTGATTATATTTTTAATTAAGATTATACGAAACCTTATATATTAAAAGTAGGTTTTCTAAACTTCAAATGGAATATATGCATATTATTTGATAATTTTTGAAAGCTGATAGTCTACGAGGAAGGATATTGAGAATGTATCAGGCAGAGTTTCTGCAAAAAGTTACAGAATTTGGAAATTTATACAGAGTTAATTATTCAAAGGCTCCAATATTTAACAAATAAATTAAGAAGAAAAAGTCATGAAAGCACGCACTAGATGGTTTTTGTGAAAATAATTGTCATATATTTAAAAAATACATAAATAAGGTTACAGACGTTTCGACATAACTTTTTACTGTTGACAATCCTATTTTATTTTATTGGAATGCTTTTATATATTGGATATTCACACTTGAAGAGGACACAATTATGATGTCTTGGCTTTTTCTTCTTAATTAATTTATTTTATATAGGGTGTTTCAAAACTTGCGCCCGCGAAGTACAAGACGTGATATTTTATGATAAAACAATTTTTTTTTAACAAAATTGCAAAATCCGATAAATAGTTTTTGTGTTTATTTCCCATACAATACAAAAATATTGCAGCAACATTGCAAAAATATTGCGAAATATTGCTGCAATATTTCAGCAACATTGCAGCAACGTAAAAATGTCCGTTTTAAAAATATTGATACGTAATGTTGCAGCAATATTACAATATAATATATATGCAATATTAAGTTTTGCGCACAGTAATATTTACTTAGTAACAGGAGGAATACTTGCAATATTATTGCAGAAATTGCATAATAATGCAGCAACATTGTGCTGCATACAACGTTACTGCAGTATTTATTATAAGATTTTGTACTATATAAATTTAAATATAAAAAAATAGAAGTAGGAGTTAATTGTAACATACAATGAATACAAATAAAATATGACTTCATAATTAATTATGTTTTTATATTTTATAGGCGTATTCTGATATACACTGAAGATACAGTATACGTAATGTGAACTATAAATTTTCAGTACTGGTAGTATATATCGGAACACACCTATAAAATATAAAGATAATTAATTATGAAGTCATGTTTTATTTGTATTCATGTTACAATTAACTCCTATTTCTAATTTTTTATATTATACATTTTATATCTTATTATTGTCCATTATGCATTATATTTAATCCTTACTTCTAATTGTTTTATGTCTATAAATTATAGGTACAATTCCTATAAATTATAGACATTGACTACATTTACTTTATCCCCGTTTCCACTAATGTAGATTAACTTTAATCGCGGTTCAACTTACTTTTCGTCTTTTTCTAATCTTTAATTAGAAAAAGAGAAGATAAATTGAACTGAGATTAAAATTAATTTATATTTAGAAGTGAACATTAGTCGGGTTTAATAATATTCGTAATTAGAAACTAACCATTCATTTCATCTTTCAGAGGAATATAGTTATAAGATTGATCAGTTTCATAACTACAGATGTTATGAAACTCGATTAAGAGTGTCGTGTATACGTAATCATTAATTTCTATTCTTCCATTATGTCCAGGTCCTTTCTTTACTGGATTATTCACAAATTAATACAAGTCTTAACACTCAAAATGAACTTTCTAGCAGAGGCACAAATCGACACAGTGACAAGAGTCATTCTTGTCTTTGTTTCTTACTGATTTTTTTAACAAGAACAGGATGGCTCTTGTGTCAATTTGTGTCTCTTGCTGAAAATATTTTAAATACTGCTGCAACAATTGCTGAAGTAATATTGCAAAAAGAAGTCTTCGCAATATTTCTGCAACATTGTATTGCAATATGCAACATTGAAATGTTGCAGCAATGTTGCTATAAGTTTCTGTGCGAGTTGTTAATTTCAACCTGCTTTCTTGCAAAAACTACTTATCGGATTATTTACGCAATTTTATTAAAGGAAAAAGTTTGTTTTAACATAAAGTATCACGTCTTGTACTTCGCGGGCGCGAATTTTGAAACACCCTGTATAAAATAAATTAATTTTCCTACTTAATTTATTAATTTATTTTCCGTATGTAAATGAATATTATATACGTATGAAATATTTCAAATATGAAATATTTCATATTTATATTTAGTTATATAGTTTTATTGTTTAAATGAAAATTGTCTTATTTTATTCTAATTATTAAAAAAAAATGTCTATTATTGAAATAATTTTTAATCTAAATTTTCAATCGCTGCCTGTTTTTTTATTGCTTTCAAATACTATATAGAAAAATATAATTTTAGTAGTAAATATATTTTTCTATAATTATCTTCATTTTGTTAAAAGATAATTTTTTAATACATTCTTAAAGATGAAGATGAATGAATAAAAGTAAATAAATAGTAAGTAATAGTGAGAAGTTTATTTAAAACTTTTCTAGCTTAAAATAATGAGAAATTAAGTAAATATACTACACAGGAAGTTTAATTGAAAGTATATTAAAAGAGAGAATTTTCTATTAAATGTTCGACAAATTGATCCTAAAATGTCTAATCAATTTCTCAAGAATCTTATATTTTTCTCTATTTCAATTTAATATTTAAATTCAATGCGATTCAGACTTTTAGCCATTCTTAGCGATAAACATGCCATTGTAAGTTAGTATAGAGAATCTGCCGTCGAGTCGAATCAATAAACCGGTTTGCCGAAGGTTTCCGTGAAGTTCCAAGAACTTTTATTATACATCTTTGTTACGCTTCCGCGTTTTCATCAACGATCGCAAAAACAAGCAGAGCACTTTACCAAGAAGGTCGATGAACCAATCAGGACGCTGAATCGGGCCTAGTTTCAGTCTTTTCTCTCTTTCTCTTTAAGACCATCTTTAGCCTACTTTTTCTGTTTTATGCCTGCCATAGTAACTTAAATAAAATCAACGGAACACAGCAAAATGATTAAATCACGAATATCAGAAGTATTTCTTCTCGAGACACTTTTAAGACACCCTGTAGAGAACAGATTGGGCACAATTATTAGCAACAATTAGCGGGAATCTCTTAATTAGCGTGTTAAGTTTCAAACAAATCTCGCTCGGTACAATTGCACACAAATTATACATTATAGAGAAACTAAAATCGAACAATAATTATTGTATTATATAAACTTAACTTAAAATTAAATGCAAGTAGTGTCAGCAACATTAATGATAATCTACATTGCTATGTTAAGTTGTATCCTCAATAAAATATTTGACGGTTTGCAAATTAGGACGAAAAATAAAATATAAAAAATTTTTAAATATTATTGAAAGCATCAGGAAAAAATTTATAGAATTTTTAGGATAAGGAATTTGACAACTCCCTATTTTTTATTGCGAATTTTTAATCCATAAAATCACATCAAGTTCTATTTCTCGATGAAGAACCAAGGTTATCCGTTCGTTCCCTCCTTTCCTTTCCTCTTGTTCTCCCTCTTTTCCTGTCCCTTCCTCTCATCCGCTCACTCCTTGTTGTCTACCTGTAAGGTAGAGCAAGAATACCGTTTCGATTTCTCTTAAACGTGGAGTTATGTGGTGGCGTCTTTACAATCGGCATTATCGTTGTCGTTCTGAGGACACAGCTGTTAGTCGTGTGTGCACTGTGCACACGTTAGTGCACATGGTCGTGTTCTGTGAACCATCACGAATGCATGGATTACATAGTCATTAAATCATGCATCGCGACGTAGATCTGAAAATCGATCCCGTTGGAAGGAAAATTGATCGCGCAAACTTTTAACTTGCTGCTTTTGAATTCTGCATGATTTGCATGTGATAAATATTTTTAGTTCTTAGTGAAATGTGATTATATGTAATAAAAAATTCATTGTGATGAAATAGCAAATCTTTCAATTTTTGAAACATTTCTCTATAATTTTTAATTCTCAATTATACAATTTTTAACTCTAGTTTATATATAACTGTATGTTACTTATTTATCTTTAATTCTGAGTTGCATTGAAATTTCATTGTAATCAACGCCATTGTAATCAATATGTGCAATATGCGAATGATTTTACAGTACAATTTTGAAGTAAATTTTTTAAGCGCGATTTTGAAAAAAAGAATAAGATATTGAATTGAGTTGCTAATGAATAAAAATTAAAAGAAGCTATGAAGAGCAAGATGATGATATTAAACTTATAGATGCTTCAAATATTAATTGATAATTTTTTTCCGTTCAAAAATTTTCTTCTGGATCTTCTTTCTGAAACATTTTGTAACAGTTGTTTCTAATTCGTAGATCTTTAGATCCATTAATTATTATTTTTATTCTGAAGCATTTAGTCAACAAACCTTCTGACTCATATTCTTTTTAAGTTAAGATTTTGGAGAATTCAAAAGAGAAGCTCCTTTTAAAAAGACCACGAAGATCAATAGATATCAGGATCAGAAGATAAATACTCTATTTTGAAGCTTATCTTCTTGAATAAACTTTTATGAAATATATATTCTTGAAACAAGATTTTGGAATCAAATTTTGGGATAAGTTTTCATATCTCCTAGAGGAAAACCATGAAAAATAACATGGAGAACCTTGAACAATCTGTAAATCCAAGAATTATCCAATCGTGCGGAAAAGTCTGTCAGGAACACAACGAAGAAAATTGCCCAAGCGAGAATGAACGCGAGTTTGACTCGCTGGAATACGAGGAAGATGCATATTACTCAAAGTTGACAACGACGCCGAGCTTTGATGACATAGACGAACTGGGCGATGAGGAAGTGGATGAGTTAGTGGTTCACTGCTGGCGTGACTCTAACGGTGAGATAGACGAGATTGTTGTGGACGACGGCAACCTGTCTGTCGAGACGGAGTTTCTGCAGGAAGAGTTACATGACGGTTGCAAGAAAAAGAAGAAGCGAACGATCCGAGTGATCTTCCAGGACTTCTCCAAACCTTATCTCGCTAAGATCAGTAATAGCCAGAACTATAAGAAGTTCCTCGAGTTGATAAAAGGTGCTGAGAAGAGAGAAATCGCTTCGTTACTTTTATACTCGTAATTTACACTAAAGAAAAACTTGTTACGGACTTTGCTGAATTTCTAATGGAAATTAGAGCGATTGTAAAATTATTCATTATAAATAGTAAGGGGAATGTTATTTTTTTAAATTAATCAGAGAGGTTATCAAGTTCAACTCATTTGATAATAATGTTTAAGTCTTAAAAATATTGGTATCAAGCTATTAAAAAATTTTCATGAATTTATAAATGCTTAAATTTGTGCATAGAGATTTTTTATTTAATTTCTAATATAATAATTATGTACTTTCACGTGAGAAATTTTGCGGTTACGTCTAGCACTTCTCTATTCATTTCTTTTCAACGTGTGAAAGTATACGAAAAAGGATCATGAAATCGCTATCGAGTACAGCGATGTGGAACATACTTTTAATTTTTCTAGGGCGATGTTTCGCTCTGCTGAAACTGCAGAACTTCACGCATTCCTTTGCAATCAGCGAAACAATCGAAATCGTTCGCTGAAAGTTACAATCACTTGCTGAGAATAAATTACAGTTGATAAATTACAGTTGATTACATTTCTATTTTTTCATATTTAGTACAGATAAAAAACGCAATAATCAGATAAATTTTTTTTCTATGAATTGTGTAAACTAAAAAAAATAGCCTAAATTTTAATAAATATTTATTTGAATAGTGCCAACTAAACATTTACTTACAATAAATTAATATTTACTTAATAAAAAAAAGTGATTGTTAAATCAAGTTAATGTTTTTTGTGTCAAATAAATATATTTTTATATTTAATAAATATTTAGTTGGTACTATTCAAATAAATATTTATTGAAATTTAGGATATATATTTTTTCTTGGTGTAGTTAAGGTATTTTTTGATGTTATTTATATATATTTAGTTTTAATTTCTTATTTCAATTTGTAATGAGCCTTATTTTTATTTTTAATTTAACTTTGATAATGTAATATTACTTGTTTTATGTACAGAGAATGATTATAATGTGAGTAGAATGTGTGTGTGTGTGTGTGTGTGTGTGTGTGTGTGTGTGTGTGTGTGTGTGTGTGTGTGTATAAACGTCATCTTTCATATGTAATATAATAATCTGTATTAAATTGCAACCTAGCTTGCGAGAAAAGTAATCCTCCGAGTAGTCAGCGTGACCGTCATGGTACCGTATGTCTCACGATTAATTTCCTTCCTTCCCTTTTGTTCCAGGAGAAGATGCTTCGCTCCACTCGGCCGGCTCTCTGTCGCCATCATCGGATACCATGGCGAACGAGCTTCAAGGACTCTCCTTAGAGGAGCAAGAAGAGCAAAAGGCTGAATGGAGCGCTCAATTAGCAAAGGTAGATTTTCGAGACCCAGGAAAATCCCGAGGATAGACAATAATGAAAATCAATTTCAGGTTGAAGAAGAAATACAGACTTTGAGACACGTTCTCGCCAACAAGATTAAAGTTTCGCAGGATTTGAAAAGGAAGCTTGGCATTAGTGTCTGGAAGGAGCTCACTGATGATGTTAATCAGGGACTCAAGAACGTTAAAGAAAGTCACGTGTACGTATCCTACTGTTAATTTGTTTTCTTTGCATGCTGTTTCTTTGCAATCCGTGTGTACATGTATTCTGTACATATACTCTATACATACTCTATACATACTCTATATGTACTCTATGCATTCTGCCATATTTTATGTATAAAGGAGAAGTGGACACAAATTATAACAGACTCACAGAATATCTTTAAACTTATGAAATACTTTATTATATGTTAATCAAATAATTAACAATCTTCGAGATATGCGCGAATAGATTTCCAAATCTCCTATTTTTTTACTAAGTTTATTCTTTTTTATTTCTCGTTTTTTCGTTTTCATTTCTACGAAGTGACTCCGGTTATTATTCCTTTTTGTGTTGTTGATACTCCACTTCTACTCTTCAAATACACGTAGAAGCATTGATTTTTTTTTTTTTACTTTTGGTTGGGTTCTCATTCAGTTATCAAAACGTCGGCGAGACATTCAGTCGCTTAACCAGGACAATCTCCGCGAACAATTTGTAAGTACGCACAAAATGTCCCATTTTCCTTTCTTCGCGATCCACGTTTTATGAATATTTTGCATTATATTAATACACGCGCGCGCGCGCGCGCGCACACACACACACACACACACACACACACACACACACAGAGAGAGAGAGAGAGAGAGAGAGAGAGAGAGAGAGAGAGAGAGAGAGAGAGAGAGAGAGAGCCTTTCAAATATTTAAATTAAACTTTGTTGACATATTCGTGTTCAAAACGAATATAAAATTTGGCAAATTTGTTTTAGAAACAATCTATATTTGTTGGTATTTTAATTTCGCAATTTTAATTATTGACGCTACTACATTCGCTTAAAACAGAAACAAAATTTAACAAAAATTACAGCAAACACTTTATTTAATATATGAAAGCTTCATGCTGATTAAAAATTCATTCACACAATTTTCATAGATGATAATAATCACTTTGAGAATCAGATTTTTACCGTTTTAATTTTCTGTCATTTCAGATACCAAAAGACAGAATCTGTACTCAAGTCTACAGCTGAGAAGACGACGAGTATTCTAGGTGGCTTTGGTAGTGGCATTACTATGAAACTGGGCCAGATGCGTAATTCCGACAGCTTCCGGTCACTGGAAGAAAGAGTTGGATCTGCCTGCGAGAATATCAAGGCAATTACAACTAAATCAGATTAATATCAGATTACTAAATATCTATTTGTATTAAGTTAGTCTTTCAAATTAACTATTTTATACTAATTTTTTAGATTTTAAACGCGTACGTCAAATTTTTAATTTTTCATGCCACAAATGAACACAGATTAATAAATAAACGAATCAAATAAAATAGCTTAAATTGTATTATATGTTGTGAATTTGTGTTCTTTGGAATTACTAATTTATAAAATATTAAAATTTCTTTGATGTGTTTATTCAAGGATTTTTTTCTTCTTTTCCCAGACGAAAGTCGTGCCTTCAAGGTCCGGCTCGACGCAGAGCTTCGATGAAGCACTCCGAGAGTCCGAGGCAATGAGACGCGCGTCCGCGGCTCCGTCAGCTACCAGCCCGACCATTCCTGAGGATAAAATGCTCTCTTAGAGCTCGAAATCCGCGCGTTTCTTCCGCGCGATACAAAATATTGATACCGCGCTATACTATTACTGCGTTCGTCTATTGCAATCGCTTTAGCGGGCCAAATGGCGTATTCGTGCATGTCGGATTCGATTTGAGTCCTTCGATATTTCGCTCAATCGAGACTTCGGCCGCGAGCACAAGTACTATCCTATTCTCTATTCAATAAAAAAATATATTTTTCTTGCACGCCATTTCTACGCCTTTCCCCTCGCAGGATCGCCTTTCTTCGGGCCACTATCAGGATATTCTCTACGCAAAGTGTCCCCCACGTGATTTTTATATTTGATACTAAAGAACGGCTACTCAAGACGATCTGTGTTTTCCAAACAATGAAATGCATTTTGGAATTTTTTTTTTATAATTGTGATTTGTAGATACAATAAAATATATTTGGGCTCGAATGAGAGCTGCTTATTTATGTGTGCCGCGAGAGGAACTTAATTTTGCAATTGATAATAAAAAGAAATTATGATTCTGCTATAATTTTCATTGCACGATGTATAATTGTTAATAATTTTTTTTCTTTCAGTGTGTTAGAACAATTATATTTGATTATATTAAATCAATTTAAGTTTACACTGATAATCGCACTTATTTCTTCAAATATTCATAATTTTTGACACTCGGAGTTTCATTGCATATTACCGGTGTCCTGAATCAACCTGATAGAGCTGCCAAAGCAAATCTTCAACGATTTATAAAGAATGACCCGTCCATTGACAATATTTTACACTGTATACTGAACTTTTCACCTACTACGCAAATTTAATTAATGCGAGTCATTCAATCTGCCAAAAGGCAAATCTAAGTCTCAAGAAATACATCACTAGCTTTATTTTTTCTATTATATTTCTAACGATACAGAAAATTGTATTGAAGTAACAGAAAGATTATTATATAAAGAATCATAATGAAGCTTGTTATAAAATGATGAAATTACATCGCGATAATGTAAATGAAGAACGATTTTCCATGCACTGCGAATGATTTTATCGGCAATTACACAGAATGAGTCACCGAAAGCAGAATAGATATCCTTAAAATAAGAATTCTTTTTCATTGGAGATGTTTAACAATTCTACTTTCTGCTCATTCTGTATATTAGACTGAGAGAAAATTCTTCGTGATTCTCGATATATTTCACAAATGGATACTTTTTAAGTACGCGAATAATCTAAAAGGATTCGCAAATAAACGAAATTAAGAGATATTTTGTATTCTAGCTTTACGGATAGATTATCGACGAAGCATGGTTCGTGTATTATTGTTAACATTAATACGCAATAACATTAATACGCAATAATAATTTACAATCTGCGGAAGTCTCGTGAGTTGCGACAACAATGATTGATTATTATTAATGATAATAGGCCATGGTTCATCGATAATATCTATTGCATAACTCCTTGTTCATATTAATAAATAAATTATTTTACGAAATGCTAAAAGCCGCAAATATCTTACCTACCGCGCAAAAAACTTTCTTGACAATCCAAATGAAATTTAAAACAATAATATAAATTTAAAATAGATAATAAATAGGAAAGGAAAAATTAGATCTTGATGTCTAATAATGTATTTGAAATTAATTTACATCTAAAATTATTAGGCACTAAGATTTAGCCTCTATTATATGTTAGCCTTATCTTTATTTATTTAAATTTAAAGTTTTATATTGTAAGCCTCAAATTTTCCAATATTCAATATATTACGCGATTCTTTTTAGTAATTAAATTAGTAAACAACAATAAATTAAGTTTCAAATCATAATTTCATTGCAATATTTGATACTTGATGCGTTGATGTTACAAGTTATATTGAAAAAAAAAATTAAATTTTAATAAATATTTGAATATTTTTAAATAAATATTTACTAAATGTAAACATATATGTGCAAGAACTATTAATTCAGTTTATCGTATTTTTACTTAGTAGATATTTATTTATTGTAAATGTTTACTGTTGAAAGAAATATATATTAAGATACAATAAATAAGTCTTTTTCAGTGTAAATATTTTGGAGCTAATTATTGCTATTAATTTATTTTTCAGTTATATTCCTGGCATTCCATGATTCAAGTTGATTGTTAAAATATCAAAATTTTTTGCAGCATCGAGCACACAAACTTCTATAGCGCATCATGCTTGAGTTTCCGACATAATTATTTTAATGCATCCAGCAAAATTATTTTCAGATTTGCATTTAGCTTTATTTCAGCAAGATCATTCTTTCCATGTACAATATATAATTTCAAATTTTAGTTCCAGTTAGATTAATCGATGCGATGGGCCACTGTGAGTTTTTCGATATCTCGATAATCGCTTCGCCCTGCAGCCAACTTCAGTGACAGTATAACGTATCGCGATGGATCGCGGTTCTAATCGCTCCGCATTTCTTGCGATCATCACCGTTTAAATGTAATTCTTACGCGCGAAAAATTGTCGCTTAGGTTGTCTCTCGTGAAGTACTTATTGGATTCATGCAATTCACGAAATATTACGTACGCGAATTTCGTTGACGGAAACGCTTTTCTTCTTTCGATGGAACTTTCTGTTTCGCGCGTTTCCTTCCGAAGCTTTCCTTCCGAAGAAGTGCAACAACAAAAGCTCGGCTAATAGCCAGATAAGTACATCGTTCTGTAATAATTGGTTCTATAAGAAATTCAATATTTCGACCGTTTTTCGTGTCGAATTATTTCAAATTTTACATTAAACAAGAAATTATTGGTTGCATTTGAATCTGTCGCCGTTAGGTGGTGCCATCAGCGGTCCGCCATTACGCGAAATGGTGGTTGGCGGTTGTTGCGTTTCTCGCGTTTCACGGTCGTCGAAGAAAAATGATTACATTACGAATCGTGTTCGAAGGTTCTTGGAAGTGCAAAATTGGATTGTTAATTAATCAACATGCGCGATGTAACAGTGCCATTTCTTCGAGTCGTATCCCGAGAAGAACGGACTTCAGAGGGACGATAATGGACAATCCATTCCAGGAGAGGACGAGCCAGTTCAGGAAATCTCGGCGATGATGCAGTTGATACAGTTCAGTGAGTCAATTTGGTTATTATTATGCTAATTATTGATATAGTCGTTTATTGCTCGAGGAACATAATGGTGAAATTGCATCTCCCAGATTGATTGTTATCAATCGACTTAAATCACTGAATTATATAGTGAAATCACAAAGTACTCTAAAAGCACTCTCGAGATTCTAGATGGATTCTGGTGAATTTTATGAAAATTTTTAGAATTTTGGAATAATTTAAAACTTTTTGGAAAATTTGTCATTTTGTATTGCAAATTTTTAAAAGCACTTTTTAGAAATGTTTAGAAATTCTAGAAATTTATTTTTTCTAGAATTCTTCATATAAATATGTGAATTCTGAAATGTTAAGATTTCTTGTTTAATAATGTCTGATGAAATCTTATTATATAAAGTCTGAAAAAGTTGAAGATATTTTTTCGGAAATTATAGACTGAGAAGTCTTAGAATATTTCAGAATTCATTTGTATGAAAAATTCTAAGAACAGATGTAGATTTTCTCAGTATTTCTAAAGTATTTTAATTCGTGTAAAAATTTTAAGAAAAATTTTGTTCAGGAAATTTCTTATTAAATTAAAATTTATGTATTATGTTTGTTCAATTTCTCTGATTTTTTATTTGAAGCATTTTTTAGAAATGCCAGAAAAGTTTACATTTTTTCTTAGAATTCTTCATATGTATCAATTCTAAAATATTCCAAGCTTTCTCATTCTATAATTTCTAATGAAATCTAATTGTAAAATCTAAAAAAGTTCCAATCTTAGAATATTTAAGAATTCATGTAACAATTTTAAGACTTTCTCAGTATTTCTGACGTGTTTTAATTCGTGTACAAATTCTGAGAAAAATTTTCATTAGAATCTTTCTATTCCTTAATAAATCGAAATTTATGTATTATATCTAGCCATTATTTAATCAATTTAATTGATTCACTCGTTCATTCATAAAAATTTATTATAAGAAAAATTTCTCACTAAAGAAGGTTTCATCTTTTGATTGTTCTAAAAATTTAATCAGATATTTGCCCATGAAAATTCAATGATAAATGCTTTATAAATATTGATATTCGTTGTTTCTTAATTATTTAAGAAAGAAAAGCTGAAGACATTTTGAATGCAATCGATTAAACATTCAAGCGTCTCTCTCTCTCTTTTTTTGTTTTTTTTTTGTTTTTTTTATAAAAAAGCATATAAACCTTTATTAAAACTAAGTACAAAAATAATAGGTACATTTCTTCGTCTTCGCGTCTAAATCTCTAAATTGCTATGCCAGCTGGTCCGCCATTCAAAACTATTTCAACCATTGTATACTCGTGAGCAATAGCGAAGAGTATCCAAAGGACAATACAGGGTGTCTTTTTCTTCCTCATGTAGGATGTTTCAGAATTTTTTCGCCATTTCTCTATAAGATGTTAAAAGATAAACTAACAAGAATAGAGAGCGATTATATACCAAAGTCGCGCGCGTGGGTCATTAATTAATTCATAATTAATCCATAAGTTAGAGAAACGAACGACCGTGCCTCGAATCGCCTGCAATTCCACGCGCAATTATACACAGTGTCTCATAATTATCGGCGCCACTTTTCATTCGTTCGACTCTCCAACGACTCCAGAGAGTTTTTGCGCGGAAGTTTTATTATTAAATGTCATTTTCTTTAACAGCTATATTACTTAAATATTCTCATTGACACGATAAGTTAGACGAAGATTTCGTTCACTGTACACATATTGCACTCAGCAATTTACTGTCAATATAAATCGTGTAGATCGTCCCGTAGATCACTCGATGATTGCTGGAATTAGAAGAGAAACTTGAACAATCGTGTTATTGCTAAACTATAAAACACAACGGGTGGGGCCTTATATAAAGTTTCAAAACGAGCCTTATACGTGGGTATTTGAAAGAAAATTGAGGAAGGAAAGAGCGATACAACTGTGAAAAGATATCGACATAACGCACATTCAGTACGTTGCTAATGTGTATACATATACATATATATATATAAAATCATTTATATTTGCATATCTTTACGTATAGAGAGAGAAACATGTATTATATTTATATATATATCTATATATATATATATATATTACGACTTTGCGTTAACAACATAAAATGTAATTATTCACATAACACAATAATCTGTGATATAATAAAATATCATAACGATCTGCTTTTGTACTGGGTAGGCCGACGCGCATACAGGATGTCTCCGCATTACCGAGAATTATCTCAACGATAGATTTTTCGAATTTAAAGCCGATTTTAAGACAGCACATAAGACGAATCGATCTTCACGAATTAAAATAATGGAGCGTATTGTTTAAAAAAAAAATATATATATATATATATCTCCTATTATTATTAATTATTTTACATTAAAGTCTTAATATACAGTTTTTATATAAAAATTTTCAAATAAGCGTCGTCAATTTAAATAT